GAGCATGCCCTCTCTGTGAGATCGGTGGGACGGGTTGAGATCGTGGGGGCGAGAGTTAGCCAGATAGAGAAACAGAATGGCTGGCCTAAGGTCAGCTAGTGAGATGCCATGTATCATTACAGTTGCCTTGTTGTTAAATGTGTAATTTAACTATTGGAAAAGCGGTAAAGTAGGTTAAACAGCTAGTCAAGACTGAGGAATCTGCCCTCAAGAGAGGCTTAGAGGATCTGATGGTATAAGGAAAAATTGGCAGGGAATGCATGAATGGATCATGATCCATGATTTTTTTTCCCACATAGACTTGGAAAATAGGCACAGCACGTAATTAAATGTGGAATTCATTTTATGATGTTCATTTATATGACTTCATGCTATCTGGAATCTCTACATTTGAAACACAAACTATATTTAAAAGCTAGTTACACATGAACAAACAAAAATTCCTGAAGGTATATGGCTGGCCAATAGTGGAAATCATTTATTTATTTACAGGGCTTATAGGCTATGCCAGTCTACCAACTGAGTGGTATATAATTTCCCAATACATATCTGGGATTAAAAACCATAAAATGAGTTTAAAGAACAGCAACTAGAAATATTCCTATTATAGTAGAAAAAAGTCCCTAAAAAAGATTCATTTAAATGGAGATCAGGTACTTTACACTGAAGCACAAATTGGTTTATTGATAGCACTGGAGGCCTAAAGAGGTGTGGGGTCAACAGTCCCTCTTTGTAGACTTATTCAAATTAAAATCATCCTTGTAGGAGGGGGTGTTCCCAAAGCCTTTTAAGGAGGCCCTGGTCTGCCCCCTCCTCAAGAAACCATCACTAGATCTCACCCTTCTGGACAATTTTTGTCCAGTTTCCCACCTTCCCTTTTTAGGAAAGGTGGTGGAAAAGGTGGTTGCACGACAGCTTCAGAGGATCCTGGAGGAAACAGATTATTTGGATCCCTATCAGTCAGGTTTCAGGCCCGGCTATGGGACAGAAACAGCATTGGCCACACTTTAGATGATCTTTGACAAGAGCAGGATGGGGGTAGTGCATCGATCCTTGCTCTTGACCTCTTGGCAGCTTTTAATACCACCAACCATGGTATCCTTTTGGGTTGGCTGCAGGAATTGGGGCTGGGTGGCACAGTTCTGTGCTGGTTCAGCTCCTTTCTCCAGGGCGGTGTTGGTGGGGAGCGAGAGGCCCAACCCATGGCCCCTACTTTTTGGGGTGCCTCAGGGTTCGGTGCTCTCAGCGCTCCTATTTAACATCTACATGAAACTGTTGGGTGAGATCATCTGGCACCATGGGATGAGGTATCATCAGTATGTTGATGATAATTATATATCTCCATCCCTGGTGACCTAAGTGATGCTGTGGCTACTCTTTTGTGGTGCCTGAAGGCTGTAGGGGCCTGGATGGGGGACAACAGGCTTCAACCCTGGTAAGATGCAATGGCTGTGGGTACAGGGAGCATCAAGATCTAGGAGTTTTTCATCTTTGGTTCTTGACAGGGTTGCACTACCCCAGACAGACCCAGTGTGTAATTTGGGGGTCCTCCTGGACTTACGACTCCTGCTCAAAGAGCAGGTGGCAGTCATGGCTAGGAAGGCCTTTGCGCAACTTCAAGTTGTGCATCAGTTATGCCCCTTCCTGGATCGGGAGGCTCTCTACATGGTCACTCATGCCCTGGTCACCTCCTGGTTGGATTACTGCAATGTGCTGTACATGGGGCTACCCTTGAAGAGTATCCAGAAGCTACAGTTGGGGATAGCTGCAGCAGCGCAGACAGTTCTGAATGCTGCCGGGGGGCCCATATAACACCTCTGTTACACGAGCTGCATTGGTTGCCGGTTTGCTTCCGGGACCAATTCAAGGTGTTGGTTATTACCTTTAAAGCCCTTCATGGCACACGACCAGATTACCTGAGGAGCCATCTCGCCCACATTATAGCAGCCTGCCCTGCTCAGTCTGGCAGAAGGGGCATGTTGCGGACTCCACCAGTGAAGGAATTTCAACTGGTGGGGTCTAGGAAGAGGGCCTTTTCTGCCATGGCCCCTGCTCTGTGGAACAGCTTACCACTTGAGGTGCAGTGTGCCCCCACTCTCATAGCCTTCAGGAAGAGTGTGAAATTTTGGCTATGCCAGATGGCCTGGGGGCTGGATGGAGGCTCACCCCATTGGAATTGGCTTGTGGGGTAATTGATTTTAACCCCCCCATCTTTTTGAATGTTTTTAGCCTTTTATGTATATGGTCTTTTTACATAGTTTGACTTTTTAACTAAATTAATGTGGATATTTATATTAACTGTTTTGGGGTTTTATTTTAATTGTGAGCCGCCCAGGGTCACTCTCTGGGAGAGATGGGCGGCATATAAACAAACAAACAAACAAACAAACAAGTAACTGGATTATAGTTACAAGGTATTTTATTGGATATACTCTGGGAGAGATGGGCGGCATATAAATAAATGAATGAATGAATGAATGAATGAATGAATGAATGAATGAAT